AGGAAAGTATGATGGCTCACCAAGATACCATCCATCTCCCAAGAGTAGCCCCGGTCCATACCGCTGGTGTCACTTTTGTCAGGTCCCACCCCATCCTGCACAACTCCCATTCCGAATCTCACCCCCTGCAGCCGACATTCACAAAATTCCCGGGAATGAGAAGCCAGTCCCCCAGGGGTCTCCTGGCTCCAAGATACAGTATCTCAACTATCCCAGGAGCTCGAGAACAAAAGGCCAAGAATATGGCCAGACTGATCCAAGGACAAGGCAACACAAAACTCTCTTTAGAACAAACGGTGCTGAGAGTCTTCCCAAGCTGCCAGATCGGCGCGTCTCTCCCCATCGACATCCCACAGAAGCTTCCCTAAGTGCCGGATTTAAACACTTCATGACCCGCAGAAACATCCACCAGCTGTGCTTCTGAACTGACCAGCGATTGTTTGATGTACAATGTAAGAGACAGAAGGGTCTCCTTTCTCTTACAACACATAGATTAACTGACAAACAGTGATAAGATGAGTCTGGGGTCGGCAGTTGTGCTACCCAGACTTCCAAATCTGGAGCCACTGTGATCAGGTCCAAAAGGCACTAAATCACACATCCAACACAACAGTCCTCAGGACAACAGGCAGCCGGGAGAAACGTGGAGGAAGATTGACTCTCACTAGGCCTTTCAAATGGTTCTGGTACAGATAGAGGTGTGTGAGTGAGGAGGCCATCAGATGATTCACACACACAGAGGCTTCATAAAGGAAGGTCCTGAAATACTGCATGTATCTGCTGTGCAATGGGGATTCTGGTGCAAATGGCCGCCCGGTGTTAAACTGTGCTTTTAAAAATGAAAGCCTACACCACGTCGGTCAAGCACTGTAATTAATGTCTTCGATTTATATACGATTTTTCACGCCACAGGATCCTAAGAAGCGCTTTAGATCTAAGAGGGAGCTCACTTCATTCACCACTGAAGCGCAGCCCCACCTGGTTAACACATGGCAGCCATTTGCACCAGTAGCCCCACTACGCAGCTGGTCAGGTGGAGAAGCGGGAAGTTGTTTCAGCAATCGCATTGTTTGGGGACTTTAAGGAGGCTTGGTCTTATAACCCCAGAGTGGGATCTAGCCAGGATGTTGGGGTTGACACCTCTGCTGTTGCTAACAGTAGCCGAGACCTTGTTTTGACACCTCATTGGAAGGACAGCAACGACGGCAATGTCTCTCCCGCTAGCCACACCGGAGCAGCAGTTTGGAAACTGTGGTGCAGGAGACGGAGCACCACCTACTGGTGCACCAACCCAACTGACGGCAGCCACCCAGTTTCCCTTCCTGCCTTGCGTAGCTTCTGAGATCTGAAGAAATCAGGATGGAATGGAGGAATGCTGAAACGTCTTTGAAACTGCAACAACATTGTAAAAAAAAAAAATCCAAACTTGTGCTGTACAAACTGCAGTTCCTATGATCTACCGGGGTGCACGTGCCCCCCTTTTCAACTCGAGAAATCAGGTCCCATTTTGGATTCTAAAAGAGTTCTGTTCTCCACTGTGATCCTTACTGATTGCTTTCTTAACTCCATTTTGCTCTTTCCAGTTTCTCTCCAAAATAAAGTTTTCCTTCCGTAAGCAGGGTGGGAAAAACGACACACAGTCTCTTTCTTTAAGTCTTGCTATGCTATGCCAGGAGAGGGGGGGCTCTGATTTTTACAGATATCAGGAGGAAACCTCCCACCTGGAAGGTCAGGGGGGTCCTGCCTTTTAATTGATCCCGGGGAGACTGCCCACCCCTGGACTGAAGCACATCAATCTTCACAGTGACTGTGACTGGCCGGGAGGCACGGGGCTGAATTTTACCGAGGCGAGATGGAGGAGGCATCAGAATCAGGGAACTTGAGGAGGAAGAGGCAGAGCTCAAGGAAGAAAGGCAGAGGATCCGTCCAGACTTAGCAAAGGACCAACAGCACCAGAAACAGCTTCCAAGATGGAGGAAACAGAAGTACAACCGACATGAATCTGACAAGCTAGCACTTTCCAGACACCTCCTCTCCGCTCGTAGCTGCTTTTGACCACGAACCAGCTCTGACTGCAGGACCTGGCTGCCAGTCTGGAGAGAAGCACAGCAACCGCATCCTGTGTCGAAGGCTTCAGCGAGGTGCTTTCTCTTTTTTTATATGATGTTTAGTCTCCTTCTCCCCCCCCAAAAAAAAAAAAATAAATAAAACGATGGCAGAAAAATAAAAAGGAAGGAGAGAGAGCCTTTTAATCACTGAGACACTGACCCAGAAAAAGTGGCACAGACACAAGTGAAAACCAGAGGAATGTTTTTTCCCCAGGAATCCGGCTGGAGGGAGTCGCGCCACGGCTTCAACTGCGTTTGTGTTCAGGAGGGGGGAAAAAAAAGTCTTAAACAAAACCAAATTGAAGGATTTGTTAAAACCAGCGCTCCAAAGTCTGTAAGGGAGTCCAAGCTCTTAACCGCAGTCTCTCTGCTGTTTCCACACTCACTGCAGAGAAATGAGGCTCCAGGGAAAGCCAGCTGATGAATCTATCTATCTTTTAATTAGAAAGCAATTATAAATCACCAGCTGAGGCTGGGCTCAATCTACAGGGCTACTGCTAGGTGAACTCAGAAAACCCCTTCGTACTGCGCTGGAGGCTGACCTGTTAACCTATGTCATATTGTTTGATGGGGGTTACACTGGAACGATCAGAGTTTAGATCTAAAATTGGCTTAACTACTACCTGTAATAGCTTTGTGTCCTTCAGTGTTGCTGGCACGAGCAGCACTTGTGATCCAGCGTTTTTTCAGCACATGGAGCACTCAACCCGGCTTAGAGATGTCTGTGGAGCTGCAAAATGACGCCGTCTGATAAGCAGGATGTAAAGCAAGGAAATTGTACATCTGTGTTGGGAATGCTTGCATGCCAGTAAGATTTGCTTTTGGAACTGTTTTTTTTTTATTTTGCAAAACTAAACAAAGAGACTGCAGTGATCCATTAAATCAAAACAAAGGACATGTTTGGCTCATGTTTGAAGCTGTATTTGCATCCCCGCTCTCCACTTCCTGGTGAAAGCAGAGTAATGGGTTCATGCAGAAAACACAAACACACACTTTTTAACACAACCAACCAACGCACATGCAAGCCCCAGATCATTCACATACATGAGAGCTGCTGGACGATTGCTGTTTCGCACAATCAGATCTGGCTCGGACGCAATGCAGTCCAGAACAGCCAGCAGAACAGGTCCCCACACAACCTGTTGTGCATGCATGCAAAAACACACATGCAAAAACTCACAATAGTCCAGGCAATGGGAGGAACACACACACACACACTCTGCCTCCTCCCCCCCTCCATCCCGGCTCTCATTTTAAAGGCAAGCATCTGTAATCAGAGCGCTGGGCTGGCAGTTCTTGTCCTCTGACTCTGTAGTGGTTTGACTGAAGTCCAGACATTCCAGAAACAATCAGAGCCCAGACAGCAGCAGCCAGTCAGCACGGAATTCCAGAATAGTAGCGCAGGGGCTAAAAATAGACCGTGGACAAGAAGGAGGGAGTGATGAAGGGGAATTTTCTGTGCACTCATTCACAGAGTTATCATAGCAGGGGGGCAAGGTAAAGCAAAGTGGAAAAGAACAAGACTATTGAGAACTGCAAGTCCATGAAACACATTGGACCTGAGAACCCACATATTGATTCATATTAAGAGCGCTTGATCAGTTTTGCCTATCGTATAATGTGCTTTTTATAACACTTACTGTGTTTTTCCCCAGCGGCTGGAAAGTTCCTGTTTCATTTCTTCGCTCTCTGCCATGGAAAACGTACAGCTGCCTTTCTCAGTGCACAGCTTGGAAAGAACGCTACCCAAAGCCCATAATCCACAAATGGTAGGCCAGTTTTGCATCTCGGTAGTGTGCGATTGCCTGAGTACAGGGGACCTGGACTGACGTCCCGGCTAAGGCCTGCAGCAGCAGATTAGTGTGACGGAGCCCCTGGAGAGACTGGATCTGGCTCTCTTGAGTTAGTCACTGTGTTGTGTGTCTGGGTAGTGCAGCACAATTGTCATGCTGCTGTACTGCTTGAAATAGGACGTCTGCTGGACCAGAAGAGGAGACAGCGATGGCTGTGCTCTCAGGTAAACTGCTGCAGCCTCCACTAGAAATGTAAAAAAATTCTAAAACAACTTAGTTTGGGTGAGGAACAAATAACCATGTCAATAAGCAATCTTTAATTCACATTCAACAATATTCAAAAGCCTGGCCCTTGCAATGTAATGTAACTTACGCACTACCAATCTACCAATCTGAAGGGATGTAGTATCTAATGTGTTACTTTTACAAGTCAAATCTAATTAGTTAAGCACATTCCTAACAAAAATTATGAATGAGAGAAGGTTATTCATTAGAATTGTTTGGTTGCTTCTTTTTTAAGGATGTCATCCAGTTGTTTTTTGAAAGAAGCCGGGGTATCAGCTTCAACAACAAGGTTGCATAGCTTGTTCCACACTCCCACACCCCTTTGTGTAATGATGTGTTTCCTGTTTTTTCAAGGCGATGTAATTATATTACTTGTGCTTTCCACTTCTGTCCCCTGGTTTGCATTTCACTGTTTATTCTGTAGAAGTTTGTAAGTGTGACTTTCAATGCTTTTGAGGATTATGAATACTTTAATCAGGTCTCCTTGTAATCCCTTTTATTCAAGACTAAAATTCTGCCTAGGGCATGTCTTTAAGCCCAGGAATGTGTTTTGTTGCCCTTATCAGGAATGAGTCCAGAGCCGCAAAATGTTTTGGTAATGTGGTGATTGAGGTCTTATTATCGCCTTGCAGAATTTAAAACAGAATCCCCCTCATTTTAAATTCTGCGCTGGACAACTGGACATGTGAACCTATCACATTTTCTAATTGTAACAGAATCTAGATTATTGATATAAATTATATTATATATAAACAATAGTGGTTCTAATATAGATCCCTGGGGTACTCCACCAATTCAGTCCGTCCATGTTCTAACCCTTTCATCCGATTCAGTGTCACAGGGGGAGCCAGAGATTATCCTGGCAAAAACGGGAAGGCGGGATACACCCTGAATGGGAAGCCAGTCAATTGCAGGGCGCACACAGACAGACACAGACACTCACACCGGGATCACATTTTCCAGCAGCCAATTAATCTACCACTATGTTTTTGGACTGTGGAAGGAAACTGGAGAACCTGGAGAAAACCCATATGACCACAAAGACCATGCAAACTCCACACAGATAGCACTCCAGGTCCGGGACTGAATCCAGGGCCCCACCCAGCACTGAGAGGCAGCAATGCCAACAACTACACCTCCACCACTTCCATTACATCAAACTGGTCTTACCTTATGTGCTTTCTGTTAGGCACACACATGCATTACCTTGAATGGCCACTGACTGGACATTTTTTTTTATTTTTAAAAATCATCAAAAGCTTCTAAAAACTCTTAAAATCGTGTTACTTTCTAACAGGTCAGTTAAGCAAAAACTACTTTTTGAAAATCCATTTTGACCTTTCCCTTGAACCTTAGGGTCAGGTACTGTAGATAATTCTCTAGGTTAGTTCTAATAAAGTGTTTCCATAACTTTACATATTATAGAAGTAAGACCTAATCTATTAGTACTTGGTTTAGCTGTGTTGCCCAATGGATGAGTGTAACATTTGCTACCTAGCTTCAAGTACTTTCTGCTCATGCTAGTTAATCTATAACTTAGGCCTTGCTCAGCATGAGGAATGTTGTCTATTTCTTCCTTATTAAACAGTTGAGGAAAATACTAATTTAATACCAGCCATGTCCCTTTCGTTCTGTAAAAAGTCCCCTTTATTATCTACGAGACACTATACGTTTATTGTTTTGCTATTGTAATACTCTAAAAAGCTTTTAATTAGCCCCCCATTACAATATTTTTTTACATCCCTCTCTCTTGCAATCTATTGTACGCCTTTTCTTGAAGAGGACCTCTTTCCTTTTTAATCATTTTATGAAGTCTTTTCTTTCTCCCTTAATTGATTCCTTAAACCATTAGATCCACTGCTTTCTAGCCTTTGATTTACTGAGCTCCTGGGAAGAGTCCGTCATCCTTCCTCCTTAATCACATCACTGGCTCCTCTCGACACATTCGGAAGGCTAAAAGCCACTTGCGCTCCAGAACGCGGATCAGGCGGGATTTACTGGTAAGCTAAAACAGAATTGTGATTCAGCAGAAAGGAAGAGCGCCGAGTGGAAACAGCAGGGCCATGTGAAGTGAAATGACTAGATCCGCACAGCGGTGCTTGTAGCCCATCTTGGTAAGCTGTTTATGAGTAAGATAACGTGGACAAGGAGCTTCAAAGAGGGACAGTGGGGCCGGGGGGTGGGGGGAGAGACTGGGATTAAGGAAAACAAAGGGATTCCCAGCACTGTGCTGGGCATTTCTCCTGCTCCCACCTGCTGGGTGGTCAGTCCTCCCTAGGCGGGATACAGTGGCTGTGGAGGAGTGACACCCTGCGACACCCTTCACCTCCCCAAGACTGGGAGAGGTGGAGTCCATTGCAGCACAACAATATCCCCGAACAGCAGGGTGGCTGAACTCACTTCCAAACACACGCACGTTCCTCGTCTCCTCCGCAGTCTATTTCTGTCCACGATGGCTTGATGACTCCTCAACATCTTTCTTCCCGGAATGTTTATAAACATGCCAAGCCCGCCAAGCGAGATCCGAGGTTCTGAAACAACGCATTCATTCCCCTCTCCTGCTTAAGCCAGCCTGCCTGATTGCTCAATGGAGCAGCCTGTTTAAACACACGCTTGTCACACCATTCTCAGCCTGTTTCCGAAGCAAATACAGGGGAGTAATAATCACTTAAAAACAGGATTACATTTTGAAATAGTCTGTTGGCACTGTGTAATATTGGCAAGGTCCGTGTGGTGCACTTCTTTTTAGCGGTTGACTAATTTATATCATGGGAATGCAAAATGCATTAAGTACAATAAAGCAAATTATAGAGGTGAGGTGAGAATCTTAATAATACAGAGTTAGAGAAAAGCAGTGAAGAAAGTGTGTTCTCTGTGGAGAGGCATTAGGGTTTTGGAAATGTTTGGGAGGTTACTTGTCCATGAAGCTGCAGTGCTCATGTGTTGAGCCCCAGACTAGACCTCCTACAGTAGGTGTTTAACCCCAGACGTATTGTCCATGTTTAACTCCACACAGTCAACCCACATTTAAATACCAGCCTACCTGTGAAGTTTAATCTCAGTCTACCTGTGTGATGAACCCCAGACCAGACCGCCCCCCATGTGGAACACCAGACAGAACCCGTGTGTTGAACCCCAGAAGGAGCACCCGTGTTGAACCCCACAGCACCTGTGTGCTGAGACAGTCTCACACTTACTGGGGTAAATCACAGTTCGGTGTAGCAGAACCGAGCGAAAACTGTGGCAATACCACAGGTGCCTAAAAAAAGTCATCATGTTCAGTTTGCCTAAGGCCAGGTTTCACCTGTTTTCTTTTCAAATTCATGGCAAACTCAGCTTCTTTGTCCAGCAGGGGGAAGAAACAGGGAGCAGGGCGGAAAAACACTTAGGGAAAAAAAGAAGAGAGTCAGACACCACACAGACTCCGGCCAACGTCTTTTTTTTAAATGATCCATTTATTCGAAGTCTTATTGCAGATGTATTATTGCAGCAGGCGAAGGGAGGGGTGTGATCTCAGCGGATCTCGACTGGCTTTTCCAGAGGAGCCCCTCTCCCCTCCCACAGCCCAGCTGGCAGGAGACACCTCCGGGACATTCAGAACACCCGCACGCGCGGGCGGGCACGGCGTTCCCCCGAATGAAATGGCTTTGAGACAAATAAATAAAATATCTAATAAACCCCCCCCCAACAATCATAATAATCAAACATAATGAGAGCAAAGGCACGAGACAAAATGAAGGCAGTCAGGCCGCCTCAGCAGTCCAGGTTTACAACATCCAAAATGAGAACAAATAATAATCATAACAAGAACAATAAGAATAATTAAATAACATAATAATACTATAAGAACAAATATCCAGTCAAGTTTTTTTTTTCTTTCTCCTACGCAGTAATTCTAATGCACCAGTTATTTCCAGTTTGGCAGAAATGTGTTTGAACGGTCTTGGTCCATCTCCCCCCCCCCTCATCTCCTTCGTTCGATTCCCAGTCCGCAGGAAGGCCAGCTGTCCCTACTCCTCCCCAGCAGTGGTGAGCTAACCTTGACCCTGGGCCGGGAAGGGCTGGAGGACCTTCTATAACCCAGCTCACCCGAGATCTCAACTTCCTCCATAAGACCAATTATCAGTCGAGTTTGTGGAAAAGCCCACAATGTCCCCCCCAAAACAGAAACAGGAAAAAGGAGGAGCCCCACAAACTCCGGGGCCGCGGGTGCCCAGGATGGCACTAACAGGGCGCTGCTGTGAGCCCAGCAGTGTCCCGGGAACACTGAGGCCACTGTGCCAGTCCAGCCAGGCAAGACACCTAGAGGTGCGCTCTAAGGTCTCCGAACTCAACACATTCGCTCCCGTTTTCCTGCTTCCCGATGTATTCGCAAAAGCGCGGAACCCGACATTAAATAGAGCAAAAAAAATCAACATTCTGAGAATTAAAACCGTAAAAAAAAATACTAACATAGTATAACTCAATTATATTGTTACCCACAAATCCAGTTAACAATAGCATCAGTCTGAAAAGAACACAAGCTGACCAGGGGCACCCCCCAGTGCTGCCTGTTTCAAAGCAGGGTGCTCGGTGTCAGCGCTGTGCGCCGGGCAGCGGGGGGGGGTGGCCACTGCAGGAATGCGGGTGATGTTTCGGCTGTGATCCACCATGTTTGACGGATGAAAGACGCCAGTTTCCCCCTGCCTGTGCCGGCCTTGCCAAGGCCGCTGCGATGGTGACGGGCAGGACTGGTGAACCCCAGCAGCTGCTGCCCGCCAGCTTGAGCCCCCAGAGGCCACTGCCCTCTAAGAGGACATCCAAGTCGCAAAACGAATCTAATTTGCGGGGGGAATCGAGTTCCCATATGCTTGCACATTTATCTTTGGAGCAAACAAGGGAATTTCAGTTGTCTGTTCAGCGCTGGCTCTCCAGTGATACTGTCCTTCAATCTGTACAATTTATCACCATGCATCCCGGCCAAGTCCATCACCTGCTGACCTCTCGCTCGTCTGAACTCCAGGTCTGGACCTTCCTGTTTCTTCCTCACGAACAAACAGCACTAGAATTGCATGCAGCCTCTCACTCACTACCTTTGGTGAAGTTTCATCCCCATAAAATCACGACTCGGCTCAAAATGTTCCCTTTTAACGTCGCAAAGTTCAAGTTTGTTCCCAGACCTGTACCCTGCATTCCCCAAAATACCGATCTGGTCTCCGATTGTCTCCATTCTTGTCTCGCAATTAAAGCTATTTTCCATCTTTGGTTTCTTTCTACACATAACACTCTCCTCTGTGGTATCACACACACAAAAAACCACACCGCTATACCCACACACCCACACTCAAAAACACACACACCCTACACACCCCTCCTCGAGAGGGAGAGGCACACCGCGAGAGGGCGGGGCACAACAAGAAAAAAAAGGAGAAAAAGAGCGGGGAGAGAGGACACACACAAAAAACAGGCCAAAAAAGACACGGGACACAACACACAACACACCCCGCCCCCTTATTTAAGTGGGCAGCACAACGATCACAAAAACACTTTACATTTAAAAAATTAAGAAAAGCAGCAGGTTGCGCCGCTAAAACTGGAGTTGTGACAACTAAAAACAATGTGCTGCTTTTTCAAATAGAATGCACCGACATCAGGAAGGTTCCTAGATTTTTCTTTCCATGATCTTTAAAGACACTCCTGGTGTTTTTTAAACCAGTGCTTAAACTTGGGTCACTCCTGGTCAACGGGTGTACACCATGTTATGTATGCTGTCCGATAAGCTCGGAGCACGTGGGCCTTCCCAGAGATTAATCATTTGCTTTTCACAGCTGAAGATCATTTTTTGGTGGAGCTTAAAAAGCAAAACGCGCATATTTGGTAAAGAAATGTCTGTGCCCCACTCACCCAGAGTAGAAGGTTCCTAAAAGTCGTTTATTGTCACAATCGCCAACCGCCTAACTCACTAACTCTGACCACCCCTTACGTCCTCATCACTTGCTCTCCCTCTCTATAACTGCTCTATAACCCCCTTCTTTTCAGGTCCAGCACTAGGCTGGCTATGGCACACAGCCACTAAATTCTGAAAAACAGTACAACACAATTTAAAGATGCGACCACTCCGAGTCCTGCTGCACATCTTGGGGCTCAGGCACCTTGGCAGCAGCTCAGACACATAGAAACCCTACCCAGAAGATTCACAGATCCCAGTTAACAATAATCCTGGACTCCCCAATCTTATTTCAGGTGAACGTGCCGAGGAGGGTAGTCAATCTTGGTCTCCTGTACACATGACACAAATCCAGTATAAATATCACAGGCTGATGCACTTTGAACATCCAGTGCGTCCCATCACCATCAGCATTTCACTTCCCCGACCTCAAACCCTGCTCTGACAACTCTCCCGAAGTCTATGAGCTAGAACGTCCTGTTCATCCACCTCCCCGGTTGTTTTTTTTTTTAAGGTCGTGGCTGCAAATATTCGATCACATGACGGCCCTTTGGTAAAACAACAGCTCCAGAGAAAAAACAGCGCTGCCCTACACACAAGCTCTCCGTGAAGGGCAAATTCTTTCCAACACACGCCGCTGGCCTGCTTTCCAGCCCTGAATCACTAAGCCTGCTGTCTTTATCCGAGTAAATTTACCTTGCTGGAAAAAACCCATCTGGGTCTCCAAACAACAAGGTAATCAATTGAGATTTCTGAGCCGTGTTGACACAGCGACTCTGCACAGAATGTCAGATTGCGCAGATCTGTAAACACCGCTTTGTGTTTTTTGTAAGCCCAGAAGGAAACACTGTATTTTTAGAAGGTGTTTACTGAAGGGGGGCCTGGAGAGCCACTTGGCATTTTTTCAACTTTGTCTCCAAATCATTAGGTTTGCAACGCCGCCAGCTCTGCTAATCAGAAATGGCCCACTGCAGACGGAAGTGAAAGGGAAAATATACTTCCTCCCTGGTTATTTTTCCAGCTCCTGTGCCTGCACGCGTGCAAAGTGCTAGTGTCTGAGGGGACACCCGCAGATGTAAATAGGTCTCTCGGATCAGACCCAAGTGAAGAAACCCGTTTGAAACAGCGGCCTGAACTTCTCAGGTTCCTCCTCAGTGCGGCTCCACTCAAAGACATGTCAGGAGCCAAACGGACTCGGACATCGGAAGCAATTATCCCAAAGGGAATAGAAACCTACTCATATTACAACACTAGGGGGCCAAGGGCTCAGGAATGATAAGCACGAAACCTTAAGCTTACAGTCTCCTTTGTTGCTACCTGACAGAGAAAATCATCGATTTCTGCTTGGAAAGCAAGAGGAGGGAGCTTTGCTCCTTAACAGCTCAGGGGAGATGAAACAGCATGTGGCAAAGTCAGAGGGCAGGGATAAACCAGGAATCTTTCATCGGCTCCGCACCCTTAGGGAAAAGACATATACAAATGTATATACACTGAGCCAGAGCTTCACATCAAGTACCTATTTCATATAAAGTACAATTATACTGTCATAGCACATATATATGATAATAGTGATATATGTGGCTACAGATATTATGTATTGTTCATATACAATGATATATTGAATACAACAATTCAAACTCTATAGTTCGTAGGATTATATATTTATAATATATGTCTGTTCCATAAGGGATAAGAGATACGGGGTGCTGAGATATTCCAGTAATGGCTGAATAAACCAGTTATGTCCAATGGGACTGGCATTATGCTAATTTAAAAATAATAATAAATATAAGGATATACACATGTTTTTTTTAAAAAATTAAATAAATGCAGTTAATAGTTCCAGAAACGTGACCCTGATTCATTTTCGCAAGGAATAACAAACTTGTTAGAACAAACTAACAGTTTTAAGGTGCTCTCGTAAACTCGGGCTGACTCTCTTCAGTGGGGTTTACTGGAAGAGTTTACTATGGCACGCAAAGCACAACCTTTCCTCGTTTCGTCGATGTGCTTACTTGCCTTTGCCCAAGGCGTAAACATCGCAGCGCTCCTGGTGCTGCCGAGAGGCAGGGCTCCCCGCAATTCAAAGCCTCAGCTTTGGGCTGTTATCAGGCTGCCCATCAGGCGGCGTGTCTTCCTGGATGAACCCCCAAGAGGAGACTTCAAAGACTGCATCCACCAGGGCCGAACCCCGGCACTCCGTGAATCCCGGCAACGCACCGTTCGTCAGGCGTGTAGACGCACGCGCACACCAGCCCCCCGCCCCTCCTTCTCCGAGCCCCCCTAAGTCAGGTTGCTGCTTATTTCCAGGGCCTGTTGGTACACCTGAGTCATATCGTCCAGGTCGCCCAGCAGGGAGAAGCTGCCATTGTCCCCGAGAGACCCCCGCGCCCCCTGGGCCCCCCGACCGAACTTGCCCCCATGGAGGTCCGGCGCAGCCTTGAGGCCTCGGAAGTCCCCCAGCTGGAGTAAATTCTCGGCCGAGACACAGCCCCTGATTCTGGGCTGCGGTGCCTGCGGCCAGTCCAGGAGGTTGAAGGGGCCGCTGGACAGGGTGCAGTCATCGCTCACCACGCTGGAGGGGCGGCTCTGGCTGCGGGACAGTCCGGAGTCCGCGGGGGAGGCCTCCCCAGCGGGACCCAGGGCTGGCAGGGCACTGAAGGTGGAGTACTTCCCGTTGCGCTTCAGAATGCCCTTCCTGCCAGCTGCTCGCTTGGGTGGGGAGCTGGTGGGAGGAGACACCATGCTGCCCCCTAGCAGCTCGGAAGACTCACTGCGTTCCGGGGAGGAGTAGTACCCAGACTCCCGCTGCTGGCTTGTCTTCAAGATGCCCTTCTTAGGCAAGGTGGGGGCCATCTTGGCTGGAGAGCCCCCACCCGCGGACTCCTCCTCCCGCTCCGGGCTGGACCCCGAGTCTTGGTCCTGGAGGGAGATGACGGCCTCCAGCTCCCCCAGGCTACGCGAGCGCTGCTCTCCTGTGGGCCTCGTCTTTAAGATTCCCTTGGGCCTCTTCAGGCCAAGCTTGTCCTCACCGTGGGGCGCGCCTGCCTCATTCTCCTTCTTGGACTTGCGCAGGGACCGCTGGCGGGTTAGGGCCGCGGGCTCGGCCCGCGCAGGTTTGCCTGCTCTGGGCTCGGTGCGGTGCTGCCAGTCGATGAACCTTGCCAGGAGAGGAGAGCCAGCCTCCCGCTGGGCGTCGCAGTCGCACACGCTGCTCTTGCAGCCCCAGTTGACCCACCAGTGGTTGGCAATGTCCTCCACGGTGGCACGGCGCTCAGGGTTCACCATCAGCATCCAGCGGATCAGCCCCCGGGCGTCTGGGATCGGGGGGGAGGGAGAGAGAAAACGCA